CTGCGAGAAGATGCCAAATGACTTAGCTAGTGGAAACATTACCAAGCAAAGATAGGATTTTCACTCTCATATCTCGTTTTTAGAAAATCATCCATCATGACTCTGACAACTCAATTCATTGCATGAGAAAACTTTCAATAGTTAACGCGCGTCAGCAGCAAATATCTGATGGCAATATTTCTCGAAATGCAGTAAGAAGGTGATAATAGCGAGCACTGTCTCGATATTCTGTTTATAAGAACAGCGAAGGAGTCGAAGAAATCACCAGCTATGTATATCTTGGCCGTCAGGTCGGTCGCATGAACTCGTTAGACGGATAAATCATCAGAAAAACGAAGGAATATGGATCCGTCTTAAAATATCGCTACTTGGCAGTGAGCTATCGTTACGGGTGGAGTAGAAACTGTTCCATTCAACCGTCCAACCCGCCGTGATTTATGGGGCTAAATGATGGTGCGATATTAAATTCGAGGACAAAAAACTGATGATCAGGTAAGGAACGAGGGAGCCAAAAATATGCAAAATGCCTCTGAGTGCACAAATTCTACAGTGGACAATGGACTGGATTGGCAGACATGGTATCTGCCTTTCACGACACCAATGGAAAACGAGCTTCAAGTAGATCGTTCAAGAACACGCTGGGAAGACCCATGGTCAAGTCATTTGGCTTTTCACAGTGCTTTTGACTGAGAGCACAACTGAAATATTCGAACTAAATCGACTTACGCTGTGCGAAGAGTTAGAAATCAGTGTGGAGTAAATTCTTTGTTCTAGTAAATTCACAAGTAAGAAGATAGTAGTCCTGTTTACTGATATTATAGTAATGTTAATCATACACTTTAATTACAAACAACCCATAAGTTATGTTAGAAGCTTTTCAGGCTTCTCTATCCGTCTCCGTCATGTAGTCGTTGGACATGGACCTTAAAGTAAAATCAAATTGACGGCAAGGATCGATGAACTGTTCGAACTATTAATTGCAGATCAACATGCGTTATCTTTCAGTGCCCCATGCGCATTAAACAAAAAGTTAGGTGGCAGACAAAGAAAGTGGAGCATAATAAGAAACAGAAGGAGAACAAGAACGACAAGAAGAAGGTAACTTGTGGAGAAAAAGTAAAAAACAGAAGGAAGCCAAAAGGAAGAGATAGGTCAAGGGGATGAATGGTAAATGTGCAGAAAATTTATTAGAATATAACTTCTATAGTCTGGGATAGCTAGCAACAAAGAAAAATTCCAATTCCGCCGCCGAGAAATATTATTTTGAATGATAAGTGTGATCTTCGTTTTTTACATTATTGCAAATCATTGTTTTGCATTGTTTATCACAGAGAGTTGTACTCTTCTTATTTTACCTGATCTGAAATCTTATGTTCAGAACATTTCTCGTTCTCATATTTCGATTTATGTAGGACCAGTTACTTTTTGGAGATTATTATAGCACAAGGAAATAAAATCAAATATATTTTAAGTTTATAAAATATGTTTTACTGCTGTGGTTTAAATTGCGGATGTTGCAACAGCTGTGACTGGTGAGCATTCCACAGAGCCTTTCTCATAAACAGAATTATTGTTCTATCGAAACTGTTAGGGGAAGGTGCTTAATGGCCAATGGTCGATATTTAGCGATTACAGTGTTCCGTTTTATAGACTGAAGTGGTGTACGGTAGACAGATTAGAGGTATTCAATGGCGTAAGATTCCATGAAGCAAAAGTCATAAATTTTGTGGAATCAAAAATTTATGGAATTGCCGGCGGGGAATGGGCAACGAGTGCTGAAAAACAGCTCTGATATCACTTTGATATATGGCATTATTTAAAAATTAATCGAGTGAACGGGAATGCAAATGATCTTCGAGAAATCGACTCGCGTAGTGCAGCTGCTGGCAAACGGACAAAAACGCACCGTTATGGCCATTAAGCGGGTGTTATCAATTCATCAACGGAAACAAGTGATCATTAATGCGGACATGAGCGCTCCTAGACTTCGGTCTGAATCGAGTCGAAAGTCTGAACGATTCCACAGCTGAACGACGACCGTTAATCATCGACCGAAACCTCACTCCAACACAGCCCGCAAGGTGAATTCGCGCAGCCGCATTGACTTGAGTCGAATCAAGAACAATCCAGCCATCCATGAGGCTCAGTGCACCATAGCGCTAACTACTTACTCATAAGGAAGTTTCCAGAGAATCCTCACAAAAATCTTCTCCATTCATAATTTAAGATTTTACGCTTAAGCAATATGCGTGGTGGAACAGAACGGGATTCAGACTATCCCTTCTTCATCTTCATCTTCCATCGCCGCTTCTCCTTTCGGGTCGCGGAGGCAGACGCGTCAGACAGTGC